TCACACACACACACACACACACACACACACACACACACACACACACACACATACAGGAACACGTTAAAATGCAATGCTGTAGTGTTCTCGACTTATACAAAGATTTTAGCACACTTGAAATGTCCGGGATGGACACAGAATAGGACAGCCCTGAGTGACCAGTCCTGTTCAAGAGAAGCAGGTTTTGCTGTCACCTCTGCGAAATCGTTTCGTTCCTCAAAAGTAACATTAATATCAAGGCATGCAAGGGGTGCGTGAAAATGTTTCTTTCATCAGTGTGAAGCGCCGAGTAATAAGTTCCGGACTTAGATTGAGTTGTTGTTTTTTTGGAACTACAATCGACGAAGCCACGACAACAGCGCGTCTTCACTGTGCGAAACATCACAAGAAAAAAACAACAACAGAATCTCCCAGTCATGAAAAACGACACTCCTGCACTCACACTGCCCATGTAACAAACAAAACAGTTTCTGGAAGATCATAACATGAAAGTCATGGACTGGCCAGTGTACGTACCAGACGTGTCTCTAACAGCGCACGTATGGGATGAACTGAAATGCAAAGTGTGTGCCGTTTTGCGAATCTGCAGCTATTGAGAGATTGCAGTGCGCGAAAGTGGGACAAAATTCCCAACGAAATATTTAAAATGTTATAAGATACACGTGAAGAAGTGTTTTGGTCTGTATACATGTTAATGATGGCCATGTAATTTACTAAGAATGAGAGATCTTTAGTGAGTTTCGATTGTGTTTATACGCAAATTCGTCTAAAGGGGGTACTCCAAAAGAAGGAGAACAGTTTATCGAAATCAGTTGAAATGTGTGATAAAAATGGTTCACATTTGTTTGAAAATGAATTAACTTAAAAAAAACCCACTTCTCTTAATCTATTTTCATCTGATGCAAACATGTTCAGACTTTGCGAGCAAAGTGTTGCGTTTTTCATGACATTCAGTAGGTTTTAACATTAGCTTTAACTCTTGAAAAAGCACTATTTTCCTTCTCGTGTTCGTCAATAACTCCTCTGGCACGCATTGATGTGTGCAGAAGAAAATCGGAAGTTAACTTATAACGGCGACATTGGGGCATTGTTTGCCGGTTTAATAGAGGGTCTGTCTTCGAACCGATCTGACTGCTGGTTTATTTAAAGGCTTAGGACTGATATTGACCACATTTACAATGTCTCGGTGGTTGTAGTTTCTTGGAGAAAGGAGAAGGAAAAAGCGCTACGTTGGGGTTGTTTTTTTTTGTTTGGGGGGGGGGGATGCGAAGCAGGCGGTTGGAGAGGGAGAGGGGTCGAGGAGGGAGGGGAGCTGCCCCCCTTTCCCGATTGATTTCTGGACAAGTCCCCACAGTCCCAATCTGGTCACCTGCTGTCGCGACTAACTTGTCAGTCATAATCCCCGCAACATTTTTTTTTATCGTAAGGACACCGTAATAGGAAGCAATGTCAACCCGTACACCACAATTGTTTAACACCACCGCCTTTTGTCTAAATATGCCCTCCAGCGCTGATATTACCGTGGCCAGTCAGGCGGGGCTAGACGTGCAATATCGAAGTGGACCGTGCTCCATCGGGTGGGTAGATCACTGTAGCGCGGTAGACCTTCAACTTAACCGGCACCAAACATTATTTCTTGGAATTCTATAAAAACCAACAACCCAACTTCCAAAAAGATGTTATCATCAATTTTAATATTTTTGTTTTCAAATTAAACTGGCTACTGTTACTGCTACTGTATAGATACAAGACAATTAACAGTGATTTATATTAAGTAAGATAGCGGGTTCGGGGTTCGAGTCTCAGCTCGGTGCTACGCTGTGTCTCTGGGAAAAGCACTTTACACGAATTTCCCATTTGGCTATGTTCTTTCCGAGACGGACGTTGAACTAGGGCCGCGCCTCTTAAATAACCTAATAGTGTTGATAGGGGCGCTAAACCCATGCCATTTTACTATGATTTACCAGGCTTCTTTTTGGTGTTAATTTTACTTTTACTTCAGTTCTAGGCCTGTAAAACTATTTAGACTCAATAGTTTTTGCTGAATATTACTTAATCATGGTACGATAAAGTCACAACTAAAAGATCAAACAACAAAATTACAGAAAGCATACATTCGTAAACCATTTCTGGATCTTTAAAAAAAAGTAAACTTTTGAATAAATGACGTTTGTTTTAGCATAGACTTGAATTATTAGATCGTGCACTGGCGCTTCTTCGTTTCCTTACTGGGTACACCATTTGACTAAATTTGAGACAAACGAAGAGCAAGTAGGGAAAAGTTCCACGGGTACACACACTTCAATAGCGAAGATGTGTTTTGCCCTTTAGTTTTGCGTAATAGTGCAAGTTTTCATAAAGAGAAGAGATCAGCGGCCATGACAGGGCACAGTTGGGATGCACAGTACACTTCTATGCACTTAAACACATTATGTTATGTAACTTTGAAATCTGGGCATTGCGTTGAAAAACACAAGCTTTCCGGGAAGGGCGAGGGCAACTAGGAAAATCTCACATTCGAACCCACACTTTTTGCGCATTAGTCCAGTTTATCAACAATCTATACCACGAGGTCCTTGATTTGTGTTTGTTGCTTACTGTGATAATTTGCAAGATTGTTTCTTTGAAGTTTCGTTTGTTTCACAAACTATGTCTGTAGGGTGTGGGTTATAACCCGTCCCACAGTAGGATCTCCTTTTGATCGATACGTCGACGCAATAACGGTCATTTGGTGCAGAGGGAAAGCAAGACAGCCAGACAGAAGCAAAAACCCCCCAAAAACCCAACTACCCGCAAACA